ATATATATATATATATATATTAGTGCTGTCAAACGATTAATCGCATCCAAAATAGTTTTTGTTTACATAATATATGTGTGGGTGCTGTGTCTATTTATTATGTATATATAAATTATTGTATATTATATATTATATATATAAATTTTATTGTCCTCATTTGTAAGTCGCTTTGGATAAAAGCGTCTGCTAAATGACTAAATGTAAATGTAAATATAAAAACACATACATGCATGTATATATTTTGAAAATATTTACATGTACATATTTATATTCATATAATTATATTATATATAAATATATTTAATATATAAACATTACATATTTTTCTTAAATATATACATGCATGTGTTTGTATTTATATATACATAATAAATAGACAGTACACACAGATATATTATGTAAACAAAAACTATTATTTAGGATGCGATTAATCGTTTGACAGCACTATTAATCATATATTTATAAATGCATGCAATGCATACTTCTGTTTATATACTACTGGTTTGTTAGCACTGCATAATGTGATAGTTTCGTAATGTTATTAGTCTTATTACGAATATTTACCTTTATTTTGTATTACATTTATTATTATTAAGTAAGTAATTAACATTATAATTGTTTTTAATAAGTTAACATGTCATTGAACTCTTCACACGTTTCCATACTTTACTCAACATCAACTACTTATGCATTAAACCTAATCGTGATTATTGGTGAAGGCTGTTATAAAGTGTAATATATCACAGATGTCACTGTGATACTGAGTGAGGATCAGCGCGCACCTGTTATACTCAGAGAAGACATACAGCGAGGCTCCATTGTCTCTGCTCCCGGCGCCCAACACCTGCACATAGACGGTGGAGGGCCCGTGCAGCTCGCCCTGCCTGCGGCTCTCCTTCACCTTCACATGGCGCAGGGTGTCTCTGACAGCTCTGCTCTTCCTGGAGGACTGAGTCTGCATCAGTCTGACGGCTCCCTGCAGCACAGGCTCTTTATACACTCCCAGCGCTCTGAGTGCGGAGAGACGCGCGAGCATAACGTTACTCAACGCGCAGCGGCTACGAACGAGCGGCTCATCACCGCGACTTCTGCTCGATAAACACAAATATCACAGCCCATGTGCTGTTAGTTTGTGCAGTTTGGAGGACTCACGTGTGTTGACGCTGGACGCGCTTCCGACGCATGATGATGACGCTTGACGCACGTAGAAATAGAACTAGCTAGAATGGCGCATAAATATTTACAAAGTTAGATATAATATAATATAACTACATGTTAAAATGGTTGTATGGCTCTAATAAAATGGCTAAAATAGGCGTAGAAGCCCTGAAAGGTAGACAGGTATGATAATTCTTCTATTTTAACTCTTCACTGCGTATTTTTAATTAAAATGTCTATTAAAGTTCACCAGTGTGATTATTCAGATGTGAAATCAGCAATCCCAAATGAGTTCAATTCGATTCGAACGACTGTGGTTGGTCCATTCTGATCAGCGCTGAGAAAAGAGATGAGATGACGCGCTGTCATCTATATCTGTTACTTTTCTCAGCGCTGGTCAGAATGGACCAACCACAGTCGTTCGCGATTGCTGTGAAATGATATATAAACGATCGTTTAATGGTCACTGCTGTAGTGCTCTCTCATTTGTATTTTACTTATCAGTTCGGGATTTTTAATTAAATTTGAACGAGTATACTTTAAAGTGAGCAAATCTCTGCAGGAAAATGAAAAAAATGTTGTGAAATTTGAACCTGGATCAAGGGAAAATCAGCTTTCTGAGCTGACAGGTGCCCTCTGGAGGAGAAAAAAAGCTATTTGTGTATCAAAGAAAAAAATAAATAATTTTTAAATCATTAAATAATGAATCGTGTAAACGAAATTATATATTTAAAACAATCTAATTTTATTAAAAAAAATTATGAATTAAAAATAGTATTCATATTATCACTATTGTTTTTAATAATACCATGTTTTAATAATTATTTATATTACAACACATTACATACATTACAAATAATAAAAAAATAAAGTTCTGTAATATAAAAAATGTGATATAAAAAGGAATAATTAAATTGTAAAACAAAATAACTGCATTATATTAAAATATATTACATTAATGTTACATCAAAAATACATTAAATAGCATATTTTTGATTCAAAATATTAATGAAATTATATTAAAAATCTGTAATATTATAAACAATTAAAACAATATTCATATTATCATTATTTATAATTATATATTTAATAATTTATCTATATTACATTACAAATATAAAAAAACTCAAATCTGTCATATAAAATGTGATATAAAACTGAAGAATAAAATTTTAAAACGAAATAATTACATTGTAAATTATTCATTGATTATTCATATTAATAGTGAACTAAGTCATATTAATATGTAAAAACTTCTATGCAGTAAATAAACAACATATAGAGTCATTATATCAAATATAAAATTATTTGATAATAAGATTCGCTACATTTTACAAAGCACCAAACACGGAGTCGTTTCCATATTCCTCAGTTTTATTTATAATATCAGCACACAGTCGTTGTACAGTGAGGATTACAGAAACCCCGGCCACCTCTGCATCATCATTCACCTTTACATACAAAACACGTTTAATATCACATACATGAAGAGGAGGGACGAGACACGAGCAGGTTTCCAGTACATCGAAGGCTTTCCGAATCAAATATTCCACAAGTGATTTCAGAAGTATAAATACAATTCCAGGCTTATTTATTATTTCATTATTTCATATCGGTTTAAAATCACTATTCCGCATCCGCGAGAGATCAGACCGCCGTCAGACACGTGTGTGTTTGCACTTTACAGATGTGTGTGTGTGTGTGTGTGTGTGCGCGTGTGTGAGATGTGTGTGTGTGTGTGGTGTGTGATGTGAGAGCGACAGTAAGAGAGAGAGAGAGACGTGGGAAGGAGGTATTTTACAGTCAAGCTTGAACTGAACGCCGCTGTGCCGCTCGCGGTGCTCTCGTGTACGGTTTCCTGTTTTAATACTGCCGTTCTGGGTTTAAACCAACGCGTCAGTCCACATACATGGGGGAGCTAGGAGATGCGGGCATCTGATCCAGGATCATGCAGACGTAGCTGGCCACGTCTACCGTACGCTCCTCGTACATCTGAATGAAGGGATGTTTCTGAGAGACAGAGAGAGAGAGGAGAGAGAAGTCTGGTTTACTTTCATTTCTTTCACTCAACAGCACTTCCGCTTTAGTCTTCTAAAAGGACCATTGCTTAGTATATGAAGCTCAGCTCACACAGAATTCACTTTTGAACCAAGCAGCTTTCTGTTGGTCAACATGGTAAACCCACATAACCCTTGAACCCGATGTGGGGAAATATTTCGCCTCACGCGAAAAAATTCTGATCACGCTGATTCCTATTGAAGTGACTTGATTTCGATTATGAAAAATCGCTTAACTGTCAAGTCAAGTCACCTTTATTTATATAGCGCTTTTAACAATACAGATTGTGTCAAAGCAACTGAACAGCATTAATTAGGAAAATAGTGTGTCAATAATGCAAAATGACAATAGTAAACACTAATTTTCCAGTTAAAGACAGTTCATCATTGAATTCAGTGATCAATTTAGTCTTCTCGAGAGTTTCGTATCCTTTGTAATGCACATCTCAAATGAATTGTGCTTTTATCTAGTGGTCGACCGATATTGGTTTTTTGACAGCCGATGCCGATATCTTGGAAAGCAGGGAGGCGATAGCCGATATAAAGCCGATATAATTTGTTTTTAATTTGAATTAATATTTAAGAAATTTGAAATCATTTGACAATGGATTAAAAAATAAATGTGTAAAATAAACATACTTATACTTTAGATGACAAAGTATTTTTCACAAATAAATAAATATTTAATAAAAATATAATTGAAAAGGAAGTAATAATCTGATTATTAAACAGACTTCTATCCGTATTAGACAGAACTGTTAACAACGACAGTAAACAAGAGAGAGAATGTGAGCACTGTGTTCAGGTACTGCCGTTCTCAGCGCCGTCAAAATAAAAGTCCCGCCTCGAACACATCGGCCAAACAGAAAAACTTATCGCTAATGCCGATATTTGAAAAATGCCAAATATCGGCCGATATATCGGCCTTGGCAATATCGGTCGACCACTACTTTTATCACATCTGAAGCATTAAATATGGCTTAAAATGTTTTCAAATAAGATCAAACATATTTGTTGAAATCAGCTAAAACACCTAAAAATATACATAAACTGACATCATAGTTATTATGTTTTGTTGTCTCAACAGCTGTCGTGTTTATTTAAGAGCCAGGATTCCCAGAGTCTTGAAAATAAGACTTGGATAAATTAGGGTATGATTTTTCTAGACCTGGAAAAGTCACTAAAATGAATAAAATATAGGTCATGGAATTTTCTATGATGAATGTACATTTTTCTAAATATGTTAAAATCTTAAATTTATTAGGTAGAGACTGCTAAGAAATTGCTATTTGTATTTGTTAATAATAATAATAATAATAATAAATATAACTAAATAAATAAATAAATACTGGAAAATTCATTCTGGAATTATAGAATTGTATTATTTTAAAAGGTCACCACTCTTTAAAAAAAACATACAATATACAAATATAAAAATATTAAAGAATATTAATTAGATGCTTTAGGATAGTGGACATATACATATGTATTTTTTGGCAGATTTTAAATAAATAGTCCATCATAGTGTGACAAATATTTTTTAAACGTGATCTCTTAAATAACATGACATTATATAATAATAATAATAATAATAACTATTCTTATTAATAAGAATAAGAATACTTTAATTTCCCCGCCATTGACGAGTTCTCGTCTTTTAGAAGACAACGCTTCCCCGCCAAAGACGAGTTTTCTCTGAGCTGCTGAGCTGCGGCGGGTCGCCCATCACCACCTGCGTCAGCTGATCGAACACACTGTTCCACTTCGGGTAGGGGAACCGTCCCGTGGCCAGTTCATACTGAAACAGCAGTTTAACACATCAAACGCACACAGAAATCACTTTCAGTACCACACACACAGACGATCACATGACAGATCATCATCCTCACCAGTGTGATTCCCAAACTCCAGACGTCTGAGCGGACATCGTAACCCTGTCTGGAGGCGCTGGGGTCTATCCTCTCCGGCTGAGGGACAAACACACACAAACACGCAGAGTCAACCATACAGAAAGACTCCAGACGTGACAGCAAAACTCAATTACTTACAAGTAATCAATATTTTGCAGCTGTTAATTTGGCACAAAGTGTGCATGTAATTCTAAAGAACAATCATTATTATTATTATTATTATTATTATTTAATACTGTCAAATGGTTAATCACATCCAAAATAAGTTTTTGTTTACATATTATGTGTGTGTAATGTGTATATTTATGTATATATATATATATATATATATATATAAATACACTTGCATGTATATATTTAAGAAAATTTTTACATTTTTATATAAAATTATATGTATATAAAATGTAAATAATATATGAATAGAAATATATACATGTACATATTTTTTAAATATATACATGTGTGTGTGTGTGTATTTATATATGCATAATAAATATACACAGTACACACACACACATATATTATGTAAACAAAAGCTTTTATTTTAGGTGCAATTAAATCGCAGTTATTATGCATTGTTGTTTTTTATTAATAAAAATAATACATTTTGGAATCAATTTGTCTGCTGAAACACTGTCAAGAACAATTATTTTAAGCAATAATATTGTTTTGTTTGGATTGATAAAATTAAACATTTTTAAAATAATATAAAAATCAAGAATATTCCGTTTTACTGTGAATGTCTCACGTTTTATGACAAAGTTCACATTATTTTTTGCTGCTGTTATTTTAGCATGAATCATTAATGCGTTATTCTAAACAAAAAATATAGTATTATTAATTATTTTATTAATTAAAAGTAATTTCCTAGCGCATGGGATTTAAAAATATTAAATAGCATTAATTAAATATTTATATTAGATGTTCATTTTATTAAAAAAAAAAAAAAAAAAAACTTCCACCATTTCTTTTATATTAGATTTTCATTTTATTAAAAAAAAAAAAAAAAAAAACTTCCACCATTTCTGATTTTCTGAGTTTCAATCAGAAATACCTCACACTGTTGATTAAATGTTTCATTGTTGAAACTGACTATTTAATTTCTTACGTTCTGATGCATTTTTGGCACGGCATGTTCTTTTAAATACAAAAAAAAAAAAATCTAATTTTATTATTAGTTGTTGTTCAAAACTTTCTTATTACCGGTAATTAAAAATAATAATGATAATAATAATAATTTTTTTAATCAAATTTTCTGCTGAAACCATGGCAGAGAAAACGGTCTTCTCCTGACATATAAAGTCCTGTCCTATGAATATTCTAATTCACTCAAAAATACATGATTTCTGAGGTTAATTGTGCTGAAAATGCTGTTTCAACTAGTATACATGTAGAAAAGCTGAGATCATGGGTTCATTTCTCAGGACACACACACACACTCTAGATGAACACATAAGCGTGAACTGAGAGAGTGCAGCGGAGTGCTTTTCCGGCACATCAGACTGTCTGTGTCTGATCCAGCTGCTTTACAGGCCCAAACACCACAAAAACAGATGTGATCCCGGCACACACTTCCGTCCAGACAGCAGCAGAGTGTGTGTGTCACATAATAACAGCTGTGCATGTCAGTCAACACACTGATGTCACTGATGCTGACAGACTGATGATGTCATAATGCAGTGAGGAGACAGCACAAAAGCAGTCTTAAGTCGCTGGGGTATATTTGTAGCAATGTCCAAAAATACATTGTATGGCTCAAAATTTTTGTCAAAAATCATTAGGATATTAAGTAAAGATCATGTTCTATGAAGATATTTTGTAAAT